TGCCTCTGCTGCTGCAGCTGCTGCTGCCGCCTCCTCCGGTCGGTCAGTTGGTTAAGGGGACACACGTGCATGCGGGACACACGTGTGTCTGACTCCTCTCCTTCCCGCTGCTGGTTCCCGCTGCTATTCTAGTTGGAATATCTTAAATTTATAAATAGTTTTCCCCCCCAAAGTTAACAGGCCTTCTATCTCTGGGATAAAGTAATTAGTGAAACAATGTAAAACTCCTTTGTTAGCTCTAGTTAAAGCTAACTTGTACTTGTCTGAATACTAGACTCTAGCTACAACTTTTAACTACAGATTTATTTGTGTTGCTAAGCATGGGACCATACATTGCCTTTGGCAAGTAGTCCTATCAAATTCAATTAGAATACCTATGGAATAACATGTGTAATGACTGTCAATCTGATGCTTACCTAGCTTTCAAATTTTTCTTTTACTATTAGGTAACACTGTTAACTTGCAATTTTGTTTATGAAGGTGTTTTTTGTTCCATTTCATCAGATATCGAGGACATTTCTGATCCAGCAAATGTTTCATACTCTAGTGAGTTAAGTGACACCAAATCTCTCCTTGAACGCTTACGACATGCTGAACAGAGAGCAAAGCTTGCAGAAATTGGTTTGGCCACAGCACAAGAAGATCTTCAAAAAATGAAGTGAGTATTGATTGAAGATTTTTCTTTAACACGGTTTCCAAATAGTAGTATTAAAGGCAAATAGAAATTTAATGAAACAACAGAATTCTAATGTACAGTAAAATCAAAAAGTGGACTATTTACAATTTATCTGTAGGTTTTTGAAGGCTGTAAATTAAATTGCAACAAAACTGACAAAATAGCACGTCCTGTTGCATCCCCTTCTTGTCCCCTTGAGTGAAATCAAATTCTGGTGTAGTGGAGGTTTCACTGGCAATCCCTTCTCTTCAGCTGCTCTCTCCCCTACAACTATCTCAGGGACTCCTGCTTAGAATATTAAGCTAATCTTAAATTTGTTGCTGTACATGTTAATTTGAAATCTTAAGCTGTTTTTGACATTGGTCTAGGTTTCAGGGAACGTGTTTACATGTGCCGTTATGGTGCTGTTGTTACTGTGCCGTCATTTAGTACTTCCTTTTGGAAGTACTAAAAGGCAATGCAGTAACAGCTGGTATTGCGCTGTGCACGCCACGCACAGTTATTTTAAAGCAATATATCAATGTAGCAACGCACTATAATGGGGGAGCGCATTGCTATAGTGACATAGCTGTGGCATCACAGGTTTTGCCAGCAGATGCTACGTCACCATAGCACATTGCTATGGCGACATAGCAGCTGTGTAGATGTCCCCAGAGTCTCGCAATACTTAAGAAATCTTGCCAAACTGCTCTTTTAAAATTACAACCTGAGCCACTAGTCAGGGCATTCAGAGAAGCTAAAACCGTATTTAATGTACGTTGATTTAAGAGGGCTGTCTGCTGGCAAGTGTAGTTGTATTAATTATTGTGTGGCTAGTTTCAGCTTTTTAAGTCTGCTGTACGGTTTGAAGTGACGTAGGCTACCTCTACACGTTATACGTGTTATGTAGTAAACTAGTTCAGGGGTTGTCCACTGGGGGTACGTGTACCCCTGGGGGTACTTTGGAAGGCCCCAGGGGATATGTGGCAGCAGTGTGGAGAAGCTGCATGTGCAAACAAGCTGCCACACCATAAAAAGATCCCTGTAGTTATAAAGTTAGAGCTGGAAAATGTGTAATAACTTTATAGCTGTTTTCTATCACCCTTTAATTTGCATGTGTACCAAGGTATGATCCTGCTTCTGGGAGCCCGGTCAACCTACAGGGCTCCCAGCCATGGGGGTGCACCATGTGCTGCTACAGCTGGGACAGGACTTTTTTGGCAGTGGCAGCTGCAGGGGACTTCTGGAGCTGCAAGTCCTGGCACAGCTGTGGGAGCTTGCTGGTGAAGGGGGAGCCTGCAATGGTGATAGGCTTCCCCTGCACTGGTAGACGTGACTGCATCTTATGCTGGATCCCACAGTGATGCCTTGTGCCATGCATGTGTAGCATGGCAGGAAGTGCAATTGTGTGGATTGCGAGTTGGATCCTAGGTTCTTTACCTGACCCTCTAGAGAGCCCCTTAAACGTTGTTTTAGGTACCATAGTAAAAAGCTAGGACTTCCATGGGCTATCAGCATGATCTTTACACACAGAAGTATCCTCTTGCATCCTGCTTCATTTTTCTAAAGCCCAGGCTTGTAGCAGGCAATGTTCTTAATAGTACCATCTTAAATCTAGGTAACAAGGGGTTTTTTTGTTTGTTTTTTCTAGTAACTCATGCACCCTAACTTTTAACTAAAGTAAGAGGCATTTGCATTTACATCTTCTTGAATTGGTACTTTTTTTTCACCTTGTTGCCTCCTAATTTTTGCCAAACTTTCTTCCCAAAATAGATTCTTTGCTTATGTGAGGTTTAAAGTCCCTTCCCTTTATGCTCCACTTAAAGGCATACTGGATACGTGCATAATTTTCTTAAATACCTAACACATTACCAGTCCCAATTTGATGGCTACCGCTTACAATATTGTAACAAACTCCAGTTACCTGCGTACCTGATAAATGTGTAAACTGCTAAAGTACATAGCGTTTTCAGCCCTGTTGTCTAATTTTGTAACTTTATTATAATAAGGCTATTTGCATAGTAACACACTGTATCTGTTGTCTTTGTAACTGACTGTACTCTGAACTGCACAGTAAAGAGTGAGGAGGGCTGCTATCACAGGGGCAGGCAAAATACAGCCTGCCAGGCCTTTCTACCAAGCCCGCAGGCCCCCTAAAAAAATTTAGAAAACTAATATTTATCTGCCCATGGCTGCCTGTCAAAGATGACAGGAACCAGTGGCAGTAGGACCCAGGGGAAGCTGGTGGCAGGACTAATCAGCCACAGCAGCAAGGCTGGGCTGGCCCTGCCCCACCTTCAGCACCGTTACACAATTTCTTCCATGTACCTTCCCCCCCACCCCCCCGGGATGTCTTGTGTACCCCCAGGGGTATGCATACCATAGTTTGGGAACTTCTGCTTTAAAGCCTACCTTTCAGACTGACCTGCTTTAAAGTTTAGTTTGAGTTGACAGGGTCACAGTGCAAGTCTGTTTGAAGCATAGTGGCTTTCTTTTTGCTTAATTGATGGCAACAGTTTTATGAATCTTATTACAGCTTATGACTGAGCTTTATCTGACAGTTTGAAAATGTGGGGGTTTATTGTCAGAGTACCATTAAATGACAGTACTTGTTCTCTGTTTCTATTTCTTTTCATCTCTCCTAACAATCTTAACTAGAAATCTTTCAGAATTAATTCTTAAACATAGTTTCTTCATCATTCAGTAGCTTGCTAAATCTAGCATGGGGCTAGATTTTAAATCATGATTCTGTGTGTGCATTTCTTTATCTTAAATTACAGGCAAACCCTGTTTAGCTCCCTTAATTAGTTAAAAAAAAAAACTGAGCGTTAAGCGGAACTGCACTAAGCAAAACCCATTTTCCTATAGAAATTAATGTAAATAAATCTAATTAGTTCTGCCACTTCTCTCTACCCCTCCCTGACTGCCCACCAGCTGCTCTGGCACCACCTGGTGGGCCAGGCCCCGCCCTCCTGCCGCTGCCTCCCCCTGGCTCTGTGCTCCTGCTGCCCCATTGGCCCAGGCCCTGTGGTCATGTCTCCCGTCTGCCCCTTACCACCGCTGCTGCCACTCCTTCCTGCCTGCCAGCCGCTCCAGCACTATGTGCCAGAACAGACCCCATGATCCTCCCGCCCCACCCTGGGCCCTGCCAGCCCTGGCCCTGTGCTCCTGGTAGCCCTGGCCCTGGGTGCCGCCCTGGGCTCCTGCCAGCCCACCTGTCCCTTCTCTCCACTGCTCCTCCCTGGCCAGCCGCTTCAGCACCAAGTGCCAGAATGGACCCCGTGCTCTTGCCACCCCACTGGCCCGAGCTCAGAGCTCACTCACCCTGCTCACCCTCCCACCCGACCCTTTTCACCGCCACTGCTGCTCCTCCCCGCCCATTCCAGCACCACCTGCTGGAGCAGACCCTGCATTCCTACCATCCCATCCTGGGCCCCGCCAGCTGCTACTCACCACTTCACTGTTGCTGCTTCTCCCCACCCCCATGCTCAGCATTATAATGAAATGCACTGAGCACTAAGTGGAACCAGGTAGGTATTTTAAATGTGTATAGTGAAACCGTGGTAAGCAAAACCATGTTAAGCAGGGGTTGCCTGTAGTTTTAAGATTTGTAAAACTCATTTGTGTGCGGGCTGGCTCCCGGTCCCGTCCTCACCGGGCACGAGCCGGGCCGGTCTGTGTGCATGCGGGCTGTGGCCGGCAGCCCGGGCACGCGGGGGCGGAGAAAGGTCGCGGGGTGGAGTAATATGCTCGAGCTAGAATCAGTCACGGAGGCGTAATGGGTGATTGAAAAGATTATTTACTTACACCCAAGGTGGTCAGCTTTCCAGGCATAGCTCCGCTTGAGTTCTCAGTGGAGGACTCTAATAAACTCGGTTCCTTGACCCCGGAGTGA